CCATCCATTACAGTAATCCACTTGTAAGCTACTGTACAGCAGAGCGACATCCACGACTTACCCGCCTTTTTTATCATTGCATTATTTCATTCATTATTAGGTGCATCATACACAATAGATAACATCATTCTGACAAGGATTGAAGGATTATATCAAATCATTTATAAAATATTTAATATTATATAAAAATCCTAGGCTGATATAACACCAAATTAAAGTCATATACTTTTGAAAATATCGTTGTAGCGTGTAAAGTGAATCTTCTAGTCATCAGATAAGTCTATAAAAATGATTCATATCCATAAACTGCCATAGTTAATTGACGTACACATGTATAATAGTTATTAATAAGTACTAAGGATTTAATTTCTCTTGATTTTATTTGTCTTCCAACGTATTATTTATTTTAACCAACAGTTGTCAATAATATTCTGCATCGTCGTTGCCCGTCTATGTTTATAGTGTATTAAATTTGGTATTCTATAATATTTTATAATTATATAAATCATAAATTTACAACTGCAGATTTATAAAATAAACTGATTTTTTATAACAATATGCAAAAAAAAACATATTTATACAAGGCCACGTCCCCATCACTGTGCAATAATTACTGCGATATTTTGATTGAGAGTAATAATGTGACGTGATAATACTTGCAAATATTTGAATAATATATTATGTGGTATTGATTACAGTGTGATGCCAATAGACGCGAAATACGAGCAAATGTTGATCAAGTTGCAAGAAGCCATTGAAGATGGTAGGGCAGACGGAGATTGTCAGGCCAAATACAAATGTTCCGAATCGAACAGCTCCGAAGATAACTTAGATCTGATTTAAAACATAAATAAAATTTGTTTTGACTTTTTGAGTTTTGACAAAACGAAAACTCTGTGCGCAGTCATATTGTGTATACATTCGATTGTTATTGCATATTTTATCCACACAGTAACACACTTAAAAAAAATATAGCAGTAAATACTAAATAATAATATTTAATATTACTTTAATTTTTTTTTTTCAAAAATCTTTCGTTTTAATTCAATGTAGGTACCTATAATACTCATATATTACTAATGCTATTTGATGATGAACATGACCTCGTTCAAAATAAAAATCTTATTAGGTACATCTGTACGTTTATTTCTCTCGTGCCTACACCATAACGATTAATGTATACCAACTATTGTATCTACTATTTTCATTAATTTGATTCATCATATTATGACCTATATCCAAGTACTATACCTGGAAATATATAGATGATTGTTTTTTTTTTTTATAATTTTTTATATATTATTAAATTACATTTCATATATATTATATTTGTTATTTATTATTTTATATATATATATCTTATAATATTAACTATTGTATGTTAAAATGTATGATGTATTTTGTATTTTGTAGAGTTTTGTTGTTAACATTAAAAATAATGGTTTGTTAAGTAAGTGCTATTTTTTATTTTTTCCTCAACTACCTCTACTTCGGATGCGTGGCTGTTTTTTAAACAGAACATCTAAATCCTAAATGTTTTATTATTGGTTTTTTTTTTTCCTATGGTATCGAGGACCGGAGAAGGAACTATGTTGCCAATACTTCTCCTCCGGCCCCGATTTATTATTGGTTAGATTAAATAATAATTACCACGAGGAAACGTTCCGGGAGCACGCACATATAAATGGCCAATAATGTTGTTTGCTTATAACGTTTTGGTGGTCATTATTTTTACTTTTTAAAGTGAAAAATCAGAAAAATATTACATTTTAAAACAAACTCCAAACATATTTTACCACTCCTCTCCCCCCCCCCCAAAAAAAAAGCTAGTACTACTAACTCTAGCTGTACCACTTGAACCATCCATGCATTGCCTCATGCCTGTACCTATATTAGCTATTTTGTAAATGGGCATTTAGGAATTAGTGATAAAATATTATACGATAATTTTATAACAGGACAAAATATAAAAACTAATAATCTACTTTAAGTTGTTTTCTGCAACATCTGTAATTCTTAATCTTGGTTTTAACGTCCATGGACATGCAATGTTATGGTTATTAGGACTATTTTAGTATTTTCCATGTTAAGATTACCATTTTGAATTTGAATATCGTCTGATAATTGATTTAGTAGCATTTCAGTTTTATATAGGGAGGAGGGAACTCAGGGAACAGACATTTTTATCAGTCCTTATAGATAAAGATAGGCATCTGAAAAAAAATCATTTGATTGAATTTAATAATAATTGAGAAATACAAATTTTTCGCGTAATTTTCAGTTAAAAATAAGCAACTAATTGTCTACGTAAATTTACAAATCTACTCTGTAATTGCCGGCTTTTCCCTAGACATTTTCTTTATGATATAACAAGTTACGTTATGTAAATATAGAGTATTTTTATTGTCTTCCGAATTACAATTATTTATCGATTTTAAATTTAAAAATCACAATATGTGACACGCTTTACCAATTTCTGTTCTTTATTATTATGTACATTGGTTCATATTGATATAGGTACACTTATGTATATAGGTATTATAAGTCACAGTAATATAATGTATACATATTATTATTATACGTACGTCTGTATTATAATATTTATCAACAGATTYAATTTTATGTTATGATAGGCAAGCCATGAATCWTAATACTACATATTATGATTACATGAACGTACTATAATATGTTGGTTTATAATATYATATTGACGTTGATTTCTTTTCGATGCRATTTTAATCGAATACCAACGTTTTCTCTAAACGCACGTTTATTATTATTATTACTATTATTATCATACCATGTCGTAGATCGTAATACACTGTATAATATATTTACTTCTACGTATATAATATAATGTAAGCGTATATACAGTGTAATATACAGTACGCAATAAATAGAAACACGGCATCGAAATATACGACCGGAACTTCGTATAGAACATAATAATATCTATCTAATGGATATAGTTTATATTTACCTACATGAATTTATACCACTGCAGCCGCCGCGTGTGCCTATAGAAAATTGCATTTAAAATATCGTTAAACATAGCAGCGGCGCATGGACGAGTCTGAATAGGTCTGTTGCATTGTCGGTGATGCAGTTTTACCACAATTGCACGTTTCATATTTTACTCAAGACGACTTTCTGCAGGCCTCTCGACAATAGCTGGTGCACATAATAATATTATTATATCGAATATAAATCGATATTATATTATTTACATAAACGTTATAAACACTGTKGCCGTTGTCGTATCCGCGGTCTGATTAATATTACTATAAACTATGCTCGAGGAATACTTACAGCCATATAGTGTGCACACTGTACATGTGCAATGTGCATGCACATAATGTGACGACGTTGTGTCCGCGGTCTTTGCAGCTTGCTCGCACGACTCGATATTGGTTATTGAACGGTTAAGGTGGGCAAAAAATGAATAGTATGTATTTTACGATTACGGCCGATCGTTGTTGATCAGTCGCTTGTCYATCGGTCATCTACGTATATCGATAACCGTCCAATGCTTGTATAAGCAAGTTAAAGTATTTAAACCACCCAACCGTCTTTTCCTTTCAATATTGTTAAGTTTAATTAAAATAGATTTTAGGTTTTCATCAATATCTAATTATTAATTACTACTAACAAAAATGAAAACGAGAATAGTTTGCTTAATATTTACATAAATTACAACACTGTATAGCAATTAAATGTAATTGAGAAGTTATAAAATGTCGAAAGGTATTGTTATGTTTGCGTATTTCTATTTTATTATGTTTAATAACCACACTGGTGAAATGTCAGTTATTAAAAAACGTATCATAATCATCATCATCACAGTATAATCTGCAAAATCTGTCAGCATCAAAATTG